ACGGCCCCGCCCACGGTGCTGGTGTCTCTGGTGGACAGCGGCCAGGCGCCTAAGGCCTCTTCGCGGGCGATGGTGGGCGCTGCTGGCCCCGAGTCGACCCTGGTGGACGTGAACGTGTACCTGATCATCGCCATCTGCGCGGTGTCCAGCCTGCTGGTGCTCACGCTGCTGCTGTACACGGCGCTGCGGTGCTCGGCGCCGCCCCCAGAGGGCGCTTGCGGGCCTGGGAAGCCGACGCTGGGGGGCTCCAGCGCGGTGGGGAGCTGGTCGCACTCTCAGCAGAGGAGGAGTCAGAGGGTGTGCTCTGGGGAGGGCCTTCCCAAGACCGACCTCATGGCCTTCAGCCCGGGTCTTCCGCCTTGTCCTGGATTTGCAGAAGGTAGCAGAGAACCACCTACTTCTTTGGATTCCTCTGGGAAGGTGGGTTGCCCTCATATTTTATTTACCCATAGAATAATTATTTCAGTTCTTATGTATTTTAGTTTCCGTGGTACATTTAAATAGTTTTATTATTTTTCTTGAAATACTTCAGTTTTTTTTTTTTAACAGTACATGAATTCCTTAACTTTGGAGTAGATTTGGGACTTGAATTTCCTAATGAGAATAACAGTAAGTCAGGTATGTGCACACACACACACGGACACATATGGAGAGAGAGTTTTATTTAGAACCTGTGATGAGAATGACATTGACTTACTGATAAGAGCTGCCCTAGTATGTGAACATTGTTAGTTGTGAGAACCAATTTAGTGTTACTCATTTCTCAAACAGCAACGCTACTCTATTTTAAATTATGTGATAAATTATACTTAGTATTTTAGTCCAGTTCTGTTGTCCATAAGAAACTCCAAGAGAAATATATAGTGAACGTTACCTCATTAAGTTTGTAGTTCTCTACATTTCTTTGGATGCAGGCCCTTTGGATATAGTTGTTCAGCCCCACTCACTATTACTTCACTAAGTAACTTTAGTAAATCCTAGAAAATAGTTGCTCTACTTAGGAACTTAATATTTTCAATAAATATTACAAATATAATGCTCAGTTCACCTTATATGAATTATGTTTCTAAATATCTGACAATGTAGATTATAAGAAAATGTTGATTCATGATCTTTTCTACACTTAAATTTTTTTCTGAAATTTTTTTTATACTGGAGGAAATAATTTCTGATAGAATCTTCTTTCAAAGAAATATTTGCCTTTTTACTGAAAATTTATCAGTTTGGGGCCAGCATGTGGCATGGTGGTTAAGGCACTGGACTTTCACATGGCAGATGGCAGTTTGAGTCCTATACCTGTTGCTTGCTTTCTCACTTTCCCTCTCTCTCATGAGCACACATGCCCTATAGGAAACTTAATAATAATAGTAAATAAAATAAATTAATTAAAAGTAAATGCATCAGTTTAGTGATGAAATGCTTAGAAAAGTAGAGATTCTAAGGTTTAAATTCTGTTGAAATGCATACTCTGTAGCTTAAAATATTTTCTCTAGTTTAGATGAGGATTTACTGTTTCTTTCAGTAGTCCAGAAGACACCTGGATATGAGGTTGTGCACCTTGTAAGCCCCAACATAGTACACTTATATTACCTGGAGTATACCTAGTGTGATAATCATTCAGTCAGTAAACATCAACACCATTTTATTTTAAAGTCATTTCTAAGTTTACATGGTTTTTTAGTCCAGTTCTGTCATTTATAAGACACATCATCAGGAACTAGCAGATGACCTAACGGTTACACCTCTGGACTCTCATATAGCTGACCGCAATTGAACCCCCTCTCTGGCAGCTTAAAACTCATCCTGTGCCTGTTTGTGTGCATGCCCCAAATCCTGAGAGGTGAATGGAGAATGGTTTGCAGCATGGCCCTCCACCCTGGGGGTTTATTTCTCTTTTTCAGTCTCTCTTTCTCCTGGTGAGCATACATCATGCCCTATAGCAAACATATCTCTCCCTCTAAAACAAAACAAAACAAAACAAAACAAAAACCCATCAGGGTCCAACAGATGGCATAGTAGTTAAGGTGCTGGATCCCACATGGCTAACTGTTCAAGGTCTGAACCTGGCGGCTTGAAAAGCATGCCAGTCACGTGTGTGTGAATGCTCAAACTCCTGAGGGGAGAACGGAGAAGGGATTGGGGTGTGTTCTTCCACCTCAGGGTGATTTCTCACTTTCTTCTTTCCCCCTCTCCCTTTCCGTCTCTCTCCACACATGCCTATGTCAAAAACCTAAAAAAAAAAAAAGGGGGGGGGTCAGCAGATGGTGTAGTGGTTATATTGCTGGATTCCTACGTAGCCAACCAACTATGGTTAGAGTCCCAGATGCTGTGGTTTCAAACTCAGGCTGGGCACATGTGTGTGCACGCCCAATATCCCGGGAGGACAATGGAGGAGAGGGGATTGTGGTGGACCATTCTTCCTGGGGACTGATTTCTCATTTTCTGTCTCTGTCTCTCTGACTCTCAGGCGAGTACAGGTGCCCTATAGCAAAAATCTCTCTAAACAGACAAACAAAAAACTGAAAAAAAGAGAGAAAAGAAACCCCATCAGAAATATGTTATAAATGCACCCTTATTAACTTTGTAGTTCTCTACATTTCTTTGTGATCTTCCAGTTGGTGGTCTTCCCCTCTCTATCTTTAGTCCCAGTTATCTTTGTCTTTTATCATTTGTACTTTTGAAACTGTACTTGTACTTACAGTGTGATTTATATTCCTCTTTCTTTTTACCTCCTTTTGGCTTGTGTCAGATATTTTACAAGGTATTTTGTAGTTAAAATCACAGTGAGACAAAGTCTAAGTGACCTTGGGAATAGAGCCACAATAATAAGTATGAAGATGGAAGTAAAATTTATTTAAAACACATATTTCATAATTTCCCAGCTAAAACACTTTGGAATATGCTACAACACAGTCTGTATTTTTCCATTTTATTGTTTTCAAAACTTTGGCAGTCTCTGAGCTTCTGTAATCGAACCTGTGTCTATTAGCATGTCTCCCAGAAGATTCTGGCTTATACTTTCAAATAGCTCTGTCTTTGTAATTTTCTTTCAGGTTTCATATGCCATTTGAACTTGGGCCTGGTATTTGATTGTTATATGGCTTAATGGGGTGTTATTACTGTCACTTGCCCCCCCCCCCCCCAAAAACCCTATAGTCTCTTGGAGCTTAGTGAGCACTTACCATGTCCTTCATAATATAAATTTAATTTTTATTATTGATGGCTATATCAATATAATTGGTAATTTAATCATTTTTACTTATTCTCTCCCAGTTGAAGGGTTGTCATCATATGCAAATTCTCAGAAATGCTGTGAACACCTTAGTAATGAATTTATCTTTTGGAATCTTCAAGAAGCATGGTCATGGGGCCAGCAGATGGTGTAGTGGTTATGTTGCTGGACTCCCATGTAGTCGACTGTGGTTCGAGTCCAGATACGATGGCTTAAACCTCATTTCAGAAGCATGTGTGTGCATACTCAAGATCCCGAGAGGAGAATGGAGGAGAAGAGATTGTGGCATGACCATCCACCCTGGGGGGTGATTTCTCGTTTTCTGTCTCTCTGTCTCTCTGGCACATGCACACACCCTATAGCAAAAATCTCTCTAAAAAAATTTAAAAAAGGAAGCATGAGCATGAGCACACTGAGATCCAGGGAGGCTGGGGTTCATAAAGGCTGGGACATTCAAAACAGAGAGATGATAGCATGGAAGACACTTCAGTGTCTTCTGTAGGTCTGCTTCTGTGTGTTTCTGTAGTCACATTCCTCCATTGAAGCCGGAATAATGAAATCAGTCATAAAGCCTCTTCTTTGCCAGTCCTTGTCCAGTTGTTACTAGACAAGGCAAACTAAGTCCTTACCCACTCTGAGACACGTTTGAGAGTGAAGAGTACAGTAGGACTAAGGACTACAGGTATAATCTGAGTCTGTCCTAGGTAAATTGGGGTCTATCATTAGCCTATCCTAGACCTACTAATACTAACTACATCAGCAGCATCTAGAGTCCTCATTAAACATTCTGATTTAATAGTCCACCTTACAGGGCCAGCAGGTGGCATGGTGGTTGGGGTGCTGGACTCCCACATGGTCAACTGTGGTTTGAGTTCTGGACCTGGCGGCTTACTTTCTCACTTTTTTCCTCTTTCTCTCTCTCTCTCTCTGGCCAAATTAAAAAAAAATAACAACAAACAAAATTGAATAAATAAATAATTATTTTTTTTGGAGAGGTTTTTGCTATTGAGCACGTGCGATTGCCAGCCAGACAGAGAAAGACATAGAGACAGAAAGCAAGAAATCACCCCCCAGGGGGGATGGTCACGCCGCAATCCCTCCTCCTCCATTCTCCTCGGGGGAGCTTGGGCATGCACACACACGCGCCCAGCGTGAGTTTTAAGCCACCGGGTCCGGGACGTGAGCCGCGGTTGACTACGTGGGAGTCCAGTGACACAACCATTACGCTATCTGCTGGTTTCCTAAATAAATATTTTTTTTAAAAAAGAGTCCACCTCGGAATTTTCAGAATTGATTGTATGGGCAAATTTGCATTTTAAGGAATATTCCAAGTGATTCTTATCTAATTGAAGTTTTAGATCCATCCATAATCCTATTCAATACTTGACATGGCTAGTTTTAGTATTTAAGTGAATGTATTTAACTAGCCCCTACTTTTTATTCAGCATTGGCATTTTGAATATCTG